ACAGTGGGGGGCGCGGGGAGGCCGGCGGCCCCATCTGCCCGGCTGCCATCCCGGAGCGGCTCGAGAGGAGGCCAGGCCCCTAGTAAATGCCGTAGGTGGGCTCCTCCGTGTCTCGGTATCTGTCCAGGTACCTCAGGGGCTGGTGGCGTGGGAACTTGACCTGTGGAGGGTGGTAAACGGGCGGCCGCACAAACTCAAACACGGGCTCTCGCATATCTGCAAAGGGGCGATGCAGGAGGTTAGCACGACGGCCCAGATTCAGACCCCAGGCCCTCCATGCGCACACCAGACCAGGGCTGGCCCCAGGGAAGGTTCTGTCGTGAGGATGGAGCCAGGTTCTTCTCAGTGGCATCCAATGATAGGACAAGGGGAAATGGATATAAGCTGGAACATAGGAGGTTCCTCTTAAACATGAGGAAGAAGTTCTTCCCATTAAGGGTAACAGAACACTGAACAGGCTGCCCAGAGAGGTTGTGGAGTCTCCTTCTCTGGAGATGTTCAAAACCCGCCTGGACGCGTTCTTGTGTGATCTGATCTAGGTGGTCCTGCTCCGGCAGGGGGATTGGACTCGATGATCCTTTGAGGTCCCTTCCAATCCCTGACATTCTGTGATTCTGTGTGATTCTAGAGGCTGTTTCCTCACATTGCTGTTTGTTTGGCGGAGGATGGCTCCATAAGTACCCGGTCCGTGCTGTAACGGATCCAGGCAAATGGCAGGACCAAGCAAGAGCCTACAGCCACAGCTCCCTGACCCTGTGCCTTACCCGCAGGGCCATGCCCCAGCCCACAAACAGGCCCCCTTCAGCACCCCTGCACGGTGCATTTCTTACTGAGAAGCTGATGGAAGACCCAAGTAACGGAGCTGTCCCACTGACACTGGAAAAACGCCAGCCCTGCCGGGGTCATCGCATCCTCGTGCTTTCTGTAGAAGTCAAACGTGCTAAAGGTTCGCATCTTGAGGCTGTGGCTGGAAACAAGACATAAGCACAAGAGTTGAGGTGAACCTCTTTTCCTGCAGCACCCTGGTAGGCAACTACTCCCCCACATCATCCCAGAGGCTATAAAATAGAGGTGGAAAAGGAAGTCACTAATCTTCCCAGCTCCTCCAGCTCTCTGCATATTTCTGCCCAGGCAGGAAAGAACACTCTTAGCAGCCTGGTTTAAAGAAACAGGACTCCACAGTGCTTGCAGGGCCAGCATTGTGGCTTCAGGTGACACACAAACACAAAGCAGCCCTGAACAACCCTGCAGATTAAAGAAACTGCTCTCCTATAGCAGTAACAAACATGTCATCACAGCAAGCAGTAACAGCCTCGCCAAGCGAGGGTGAAACTGCCCAGTGAAAGCCTGAATTACCATGGCATCGGCCGAACATCCTCACTGAAATCTATGGGGCAGTCTTGCTTGAAGAGGAGGAAGATGAAGCGATGGTAGCCAGTTCCCCTGGCAGGGAACGGGGGCAAGTAATGGCAGATCTCCTTACCCGACTTGATGTCGTTGCCTGGGATGTTTGTCCTGAACACAAACAAGTTTAACTCACAATATACCCACTTATTTCCCGCAATTAGGACCAGCAAATTCACCCAGGATTATGAATCACTGTGCTACGTTTTGACATGACTTATGCCCTGCTTGACGAGTGAACAGACAGTAGAGGCTGCTTTCACTGGAAGAAAAATCACCCCCAGTGTTTTGAATGCCAACCAGCAGCAACACCTGGAACTACTGCGTCTTTGGCAGGACCCAGAACGCAGGGGTAAAGCAGCTAACGGCAGGAGCATCACAGAAAACATGGAGCTGTCTGAGCAAATACTTGTTGCCGAGCTCTGCTGCAGGAGTTTCTGCCCACTCCGCCTGGGCGTTCCCTGAGCCAAGCAGCACGCGGCTCCGACGTGCTGTACTCACACCAGCCAGTGCAGGTACTCCGAGTCCGTGTCTCTTAAATGTCCATCTGCAAACGCACACAACAGAGAAAGGTGACTCAGTGACAACCTGGCATCTGCACCAAGCCCAAAGTGACAAAACCCAGACCCCCTCTGAACAGAGGGGGCAGCTTGAGACCTCTCAGCATTCCTCTCCTAGCAGAAAAGTAACTCATCCTTATAGGACTGAGCTTAAAATGAGGAGTAAAGAACTACATGGAAGTAATTCCAAGACTAAAAGGAATTCTTGGTCAGCTGCTTCACTTCACTGTGCCTTAGCTTCTCAGGGCAAACAGTGTCAGCTAACCTACCTCCCAGGCAGATTGCTGAGGGAGAGAAGAGCTTGAGGGCAAACAGAAGACGGGCATCAGGGAACTGCTTCTGCTACACTGCAACACACGCCCTGCTGCGTCACTGGTCCGTCTCCCAACTGCTAAAGATTCGGGAAGGCTACAATCCTCCCTGCATATGTAATACAGCCCTACACAAGAAGGACATGGAGCTGCTGGAGCGAGTCCAGAGGAGGCCACGGAGATGATCCAAGGGCTGGAGCACCTCTGCTATGAAGACAGGCTGAGAGAGTTGGGGCTGTTCAGCCTGGACAAGAGAAGGCTCTGGGGTGATCTTATGGCAGCCTTCCAGTACCTAAAGGGGGCCTACAGGAAAGCTGGAGAGGGACTTTTTACAAGGGCGTGTAGTGACAGGACAAGGGGCAATGG